GGGAGGGAGACAGAGAGGGTCCGGGTGGGCCGGGCGGCGAGCCAGGGGGCGCTGGAGGCATGCGCTCAGCACAGGGGGGGCAGAGCCTGGCACAGAAAAAGTTGGCAAAGACCAATTTGAAGGGTGTAAAATCCATCTCCTCATTCTTTGGTAAGAAGGCGAAGGCTTAATGTACTGAAGGCAGATACACGGAGGCAGGGACCCTGTCTGGGATGGAATGGGTGCATGAAAATACAAACGAGCATGACAGCACTTGTGATCAATAAAATAACTGTGGAGTTACTGCCAGCGCATACTGCACCAAATGTTGCCTCCATCTTTCTTCGCATTACTACTGTAAGGCTTGCTTGCTCCCGTCCGCGTCGGTACCTATGGCTCCCTCCCCCCTCCCTTCACACTCAAGCAGCGACCACTGCTTCTTCAATGGTCCTCTTATCTTCTGCTCCCCTCCCTTCTGCTCTCCCTTCCAGAAGAATACACCCCAGGCTTTGCCATGCCTAGGGTCTCCTTGCTTGAGGACAACGCGCTTCACATCCCAGTATGTTCCCGGCTCCCCGTGCCATATCGAGCGGGTCAACCGCGCTCCTACGCCATAGTGTCGCAAACCATTGACGATCTGGAAGAAGCTTTGACCGGAGGGTGCCATGCCCGGCGCCGCCTTCCCTGTCGCAATGTAAAGGGAGATAGGCGGCAGGGCATGAGGGCGCTATAGTACATGTCCCTTGAATGCAAGACAAATAAAATCGTCCTGACACTTTTCCACATACTTTAATTGTCAACCCATTGCAACCATCAATTTTGACACGATAATTGGTCGGTGGTATCCGTTCCTTGGCGCGGCACAGATGCCGACCAGGCACATTCTCATCGCTAGCACCAGCATCATGCACGCAAGCTCCCCCCCCCCAATTTCGTAGACACAGCAACAAAAATGCTCTTGCGCGTAAAAATTTGATCAATTCTAATTCGTCCATGTTCTTGACTTATCGTAACATCAATAGGCCTCCCCTGGCTTGCGCTTGCTCATTTGCCAGGGGTCCGTCCAATGCCAAGACCCGGCAGACCTTCGACCGCTGCCTTCCTTCTCGGTCTCGTTGCCCCCTTTTTGACCGATGCACAGCATGCATGCAACACAACTCTCCTTCTTGACAAGGCCAAAACGCTTCTGCTGACAAATTTCGATGCGGAACAAGGTTGGACAGTTCCTTCCAAAGCGACGGCGCCCTACCTAGACTCGACCTCCTCCCTCTTCACAGCCTATGCATACGCAAAATTTGATCCAGATGCCGGGATGAAGGAGCTGATTGCATGGTACGCTTTGCAATCCGAGATGGTCGGTTGTAATTTTTGGCGGGGCAACTGCATGATGTGCGGAAGAAGAGTGAAGTGCTTCTGCCGTTTGTGATATGCCTTTCATCTTGGAAGCTACCCCTTGATGGCCATTTCCTAGCATTTGACCCATCCTTATGTCTTTCAAATCCTTTTCTCCTTTGCTTCTGTCCCCGTTTCAGCCTATCGGGGCAGTGGCCCTCCACCGGCCTCGTTCCCCGCATCCGCTTTCCCCCCTCGAGCGAGGGCTCGGCCTGGCTGGAGGGCACTTACTACCCGGGACCGGCCCAGTGGCAAACCCCACGCGACGGGTCTGCTGCTGCTCTGAGCACTGCAGGACTGGCTGCACCACCGTGGCATGCCATCGTGGCCATGCAGCTTTTCAACGTGCGCCGTGACGATGCCGGCCTCAGCTTCCTCGCTCAGGTCTTTCCCCCGATCTTCAAGTATCACCAATACCTTCACACCTCCCGCGACGCCAAGAACCACTTGGTCTTTTCGCATCATCCCTGGGAGAGCGAGCTCCCAGGAGACTCGCCCGTGTGGAGCGCGGCGCTGGCAGCGACCAAGGAGCGGGTGGAGGCCGAGGCCTGGAGCCCCCGCGTGCCCTTGGACGAGCCGGCGGCCGTGCCGGGCTATCCGGGGGATGATGTGTTCGGGCCGGAATTGTACCTGGTGGAGCTCATGGCCCGGCTGGAGTACGAGGACGCGCGCATCCAGCAATCCACACCCTTCTTGGCGCTGGACGTGGAGTTTAACGCCGTCTTGGCCGCCGCCGACGTGGCTCTGGCGGACATGGCTAAAGTACTGCAACTGCACAGCTCCAGCACCGTCGATGACGCCATGCGGAGTGCCGCGACGGGCTGGGCGGATTCGGCGACGACACGTTTGGAGTATTTGTG